TTTAAAGGAAAAAAAAAAAAAAGAAACCCCAAAAAGATCATATGTTTATGGAGTTCAAAGCAGCCTTGCAAATGTAGGCAAATATACTACTTGCCTACACTTATTATTGACTTAAAAGTTGTATCACCAGATGCGTGTCCATAGTAGGGTAACAATAAATTAATATTATTTTTCTGGCAATCCTGCAGAGCTGTTTTCTTTCAAAAGGAGACTAGGTGCTCAGCAAAGGGTCTGTATTGACGGACGCGCTCCAGAAGCAGTGGGGTGAGCTGCAGATGGTGCCCCGGCTCGGTGGAAACGGTTGAAGCGGCTTCGCAAGCCGTGTGCCGATGGTGGTGGAGCCTTCCTCAGCCCGGGTCCCTGGAAGATGCCGCCAACCTGAACGTGTGCCCAGGACACGTGTTCGGTGAACCAGAAAACAGCTTCCGTCACGCGAAGTCCAACGCCAACTCGAACCCCAGAGATGCTGAGTCAGAGGAGACGCCGCCCCGCCCCCAGAGGGCTTCCAGCCCCGGCACGGGCTTCGGGGGCCATGAGGCCACCACGTGGCCCTTTCTGTCTCCACAGAAGACAAACAGGAAGAGGAGCTCCACGACATGTCCACTCTGTGACCAGCAGGTCCTTCGGAAGCCTCCACGAGAGCCCAGGCTGGAGACGGTGGTCGGCCCAAGACCACCCGCTTTGAGACATGAATGGAACGTGGCACCTGATCACACGCAGAGCTGAGCATCAAGGGTCGCTTCTCTTAAGAGGCTGGACTGATGACTCAGACTCCTCGGGTCCCACCGCGTGTCACCGAGTGCTTGCAGAGGACAGCCCTCAGCAGCAGAAGCAGTTCTGACGGAGGCCCAGCTCCCAGCACAAGGCAGGATGTCGGCCGCGGGCGACCTCTCCGGGGGGCTTGTTTAAAGGACCTTGGTAGCCTCTCATTCTAAAGCACTTTTACGCGTATTTGTCATTTAATCCTCGAAATGACCTTGCTGGCCGGGGAGGCAAGACAGTTCAAGGTCATACGGTCAGGGGAGGAGTTAGAACTCAAGTCTTGCGACGACAGACTTGATGTCCTTTCCCACAGGGCCCAGCTCTAGTTTACATCAGGGCTGAAAACGTGCTTCCCTCATAGTCCCCACTATTCCTAATACCCCCCGAAATCATGGCCCAGCAACAGACTTAAGCCCAGTAAAGGGCCAGGACCACATGACTGGTGCTCTGCCCCATGCCAGCCGCCGTGCCACCCTCGGGGTGGCGTTACGGCGATGCAGACCTCGTGGAGATGTCACTGGGTGAGATTTAAACACCATGACATCGATCTGGGCTCCGTACCAGCTCCCCGGGCAGAATCCAAATGGGGAGGAACTAAGGGTTGTAAAGGGGAGTTTGTCAAAAGCTGGGCGACTTGCTAAGGATGTCGGGGTGCAACTGGGTCTGAGGCTTGGCAGCTGTACTTGAACCTCAGTTTCTGCGGAAGTCGGAACCTCAGCCCTCACGGCCCCCTCCCTTTATACTTTGCAAACTTTCCCCTTGCGTTATTTATTTCAATTCATTAAGGATTTACTGAGCACCTGCTGAGGAAAAGACTTGCCGCTGTCCAGCTCCTGTCCAGCTCCCTGACGGCACGAAGTCCAGCATGGGAGATGATTATCAAAAACATGGAAATCGGTCGTTCCTGAGTTCTCCAGTCTTCTGGAGGCCCTTTCCGTGAATAATCAGGTGAAACTATGAGCCCCCGCCCCATTAACCGTGGGAGGCCCAGCACCCTGGCTGGGGTTTAGGGAAGAGAGAATAAACCCCAGAAAATGTCCTTTTGCCACTCACGACAAATACATGTTACTAACGCAGCCCTCACACCCAAACATTCTCCTCTCCTGCAGCTTCGTTCATGGACTTCGCAGCCGGTGTCCGCTGAGTTCCTACTATTTTTGAGGTACCGTGCCACGTGATGAACAAGACAGAGCCCTGCTTTTGTGGCGATGCTCCTTAGATTAAAGGACCAGACGGGTGACCAGTCACTAGTTATATAATGGCACAGCTGCCCCATGCGGCACAGAGTCTTTTACCGGAGGCCTGGGAAAAACGAGAGTGATTACGGAATAGCACGAAGCATCCCTTCAAGTTCAATGGCAGCCTTCCCTAGTACTGAACACTCTGGCTGTTCCCCTCCGAGGGCCTGCTCTCCTGCAATCCCAGCCTCTGGACGCGGCCCTTGAGCATTTCCTTCCACCTCCCCCTTGTTATGAGTTGAACTGTGCGACCCCCACCCCAACGGACCAACCAGTACCTCAGAATGTGGCCTTACTTAGAAACAGGGTCTTTTCCGAGGTACTCACGTTCAAATGTGGTCATTAGGGTGAGCTCTGATCCGGGATGGTTAGCGTCCTTATAAAAAGGGGAACGTTAGCCACAGACAGACACGCACGGAGGAAAGGCGAGGTGAGGAACAGGGAGAAAGTCACCGAACAGATGACCGAAGTGACGTGTCTGAGCCAAGGAATGCTGAAGATGGTGGCCAGTCATCGGAGCTGCAGGAGGCCAGGAAGGAGCGTCCCGCACAGGTCCCGAGGGAGCGTGGCCCTGCCGACGCCTTGACCTCTCACCCCAGGACCGTAAGAAGAAACCTTTCTGTGGTTTTAAGTCACCCCGTTTATGGCACTTGGTTCCAGTGGCTTCAGGAAACTACTACACTCTCATTACTGAGATTCAAACTCTCGCCACACATCCTGCAGGAGACCCAGCTTTCCGCCACCTCGCCAGGTGGGGCGAAGAGGCACTTTAAGCTCCTGGAGCCCGCCCTCCCTCACGGCTTTCCCAAAGCCGCGAGTCATTTATCTCCGTGATAAACTTTGTCATTTCTCTGGCAAGTCGTTTCGAAGAGGTGAAAGTCAGAAGCTCTGGGTGAAGCAGGGGCTGGGGGCCTGAGTCTCTGCCCAAGGGGGGCTCTGTGGCCCCCAGGCGGGAAACTAGACAAGTGACCGCAGGAAACTAGACAAGTGACCGCTGGGCAGCTGCCCTGCCTGTGAGCGTCGGGGCCCATCTGGACTTCAGGGTTTGGAGTCCAGGTCTCTAGAACCTGAAGGTTCGTTGAGGATGCCAACAGATACGCGGTCGCCTACCGTACTCCCCCCAGTCCCCCGTAAACGGTCAGGGAGGGAGAGGGACGCCACCAGATCTGGAGGCTGGGGGGCCGACGAGCAGTTTTACCATAAACAGGTGCGACAGGGTCAGGGCAAGGACGGAAACAAAGAGACATCGGCGGCTCCAGCTCTGTTGTTTTAGAGGCTGAAGCGTAAGCATTGGGTGCCGAGGCCATGACATGCGCGTTGGCGTGTGTCTGTGGGGGAGGGGTGCAGAGACAGGTCCCGAACAGCCCCCGGGACTCGTCCCTGGGTGCGGAGGTTGCGGGGGCAGCCAGGCCATCTGCTGGGGGCGTCTCTGCCACCGCCGGCCTGGGGAAGCCCAGAGACGGGAGGTGAGGGGGGGGCTGCCCAGTTCCTGCAGCCGCTGGTCCGAGCCCAGACTCACACCTGCACCCCCACTTCCAGAAGGCCCTGCGCCGACCGGCCACGGCCACGGCCTCCACCACTTCATGGGGACTCTCCGGACTTCGAAGCCCCTGGACCAGGGCCCCTTCGGGGGTGGCCAGCTTCAGAGACCTGTCCATCAAGTCCATCACCTGGGCGACCTGGACCGGTGATGGGGGGAAACAGAGAGACAGTGGAAGTTCTCACGAGGCTCCGCAGAGGCTGGGCTTTGAGAGGAAGGGGGATGGGCGCCGCCCGGGACACACGGTGCTGCTCCTCCTCCCTCATCCTGGAGTTTCGACCTCTGACCTCGGCGGAGGAGGTCGACGTGCCCACGTGTGGACTTTCCATAGCCGCGAAGGGAGAAGCACATCTCTCATCAAAACTCCATTTTAACAATGACAAAAACAAGCCGGAATCCTTGATTTCTGAATTAAACACCCCCTAGAGGGTCGAAACGGAGAAGAACACCAAGGATTTTAGAAAAGTCACAAAAACGAATGAGCCATCCACAAAATCGATCTCTGTGGCCCAGCCTCGGTCAAATGACAGTTCAGTTAAAGGTCATTAACAAATACGCACTGCGATCAATTATTTAAACATAATTTAAGGCAAACGTAGCGCAAAGCCTTTCCAAACCAGACACGATCGATCTGCTGAAAATAATGTTGTACTTCCATGAGACCAGCCAGACCTGAATCAATAAAATCACCCCAACCATAAACCTTTTATCCGACACAGATTCATCATCAATACCTTTTAACAAACCAAGCCTTTGATGTGCCGCTAGGGTTCTCAGTCGCGATTTTCCTGAGAAAGCTTATGGCCTAAGAAAGTAATTTGTTCACACATCTCACCTCCTCCAGGTCAGACTTCTGTTCAAAGGGAGCCGTTTGGTGATCTCTGCACTCCCGTTCTAAGTAGAAACGGCAAGATTCAGTGTTCGATTCAACGCGGAGATCAGGTACTGAGCATCTAAACTGGGGATCGCAACCTTTTCGTTCCGATCAGCATGCCAGGTGATGGATGGTGCTCACGCGCCCCGGGGGGACACAAGGCGTCCCCGATTCCGCCCCTTTCTCTCACACTGAGGAACGTGTGTCAGAACGCAAAAGAACAATCGTGACAATATCACAAAGATGATCTTAAGTACATTCCAGTTCTTGCCAACAAAAATAGAAGTCATAAACTTTGGTGCCTAAACTACCACGAAAGCCACCGTGATGACCCATCCATGGCTGAAAACCACAGACGCCCAAGACGCTCAGCGTTTGCGATCAAACCCCTTTTAATGAAATATTTTAATGACTTTTAAAAAGGATATGCATTTATGGAGAAGAAAGGAGCGTGGCCTTGAACCCCGTTAATTAGACAAACGAGCGTTTGATTATCCCTCTAATGGCTCAGCACCCATTCTGCCTCTGCTGTGTGGCTTTGCAAATCCTTTCTCTGGAATCATGCACTGAATCTAACTCTTCGTGGGACAAATCTGATTTGCCATCTGTCACGTCCTTGGGAGGATCCTCCCTGTTGCCTCTATACCAATCACCTTAGCAAAAAGAAAGGGGAGAGTCCCAGAAGGATGAGGACACAGGGACAGGGGACAAGGTAAGGGTCTGTCCCCAGATCCACTTTTCTGCTGGCCATTCCAGCAAGGCCGAGTAGAGGGCGGGGCCTTGGCTGGAGGCAGACGGCACAGGGAGCTGGCCTTCGGCTGGAACTCACACGTTCGACACATTTTGAACGTTTTATTATGGGGATTTTCAAACTTATAAGAAAGTAGAGAGCATAGTATAATGAACCCCATCCGCCACCACCAGCTTCCAACAGTTATTAACTCACGGCCAGTCTCGTTTATCTATGCCCTCGACTTCCTTCCTCGAATGGATCATGTTAAGAATTTTAATTCACCGCAGATGCATCATTATTCGCTCGGTAAATTTTGGCAAATTGCTTCATCTCTGTGATCCTCAGTCTCCTTGTCTGTAAGGTACGATCACTGCCTCCCGGGGAGACGGTGAAGGTTAAATGACATCGTGCAGGTGGAAGACTTAAGGCCAAAGCTCGAAAGGCAGGGAAGCTAGAAGGATCGAGCAGTTATGGCTTCTGATACCCCACCCAGCGAACTCCGTGGCACTGGGTTGTCCCTGCCTGGATGAAAACCTGGGAAGACGCTTGGCTTTTCTGGCCATTCTTGGGCGACACACGGGCCTTTGATGGGCCTTAGCATGTCCAGTCCACGCAGGGGCTGAAGTTCAGGGCTGCGTTCCAATAGGCAGCCCCTTCCCTTCCTCCCAGCCCAGGCCTGTGCGAGCAACAGCTGCACATGGACTATGGCTGGGCTGCTGCTTCTTTATTTCCCCTCCTTCCTGTACCCCACGAACCAACCCCTCCACACACACACACACACACACACACACATACACACGCGCACTATAGAACTGTGAGGAGAAGTAGTAATTTGAGCAAGGATGTTCCAAAGTGATTGGCAGGTGTTCAGGTTGAATCGTCTTCTTGTGAGCGTTCTTTGGGGGAGATTTCTAGTTTTTTTGAAGACATCCTGCCCCCACTCCTGAATATTTCTTACCCAGGAATCCAGCAGTACCTCCAGCTTCTCTCTGATGAGGGTGATCTCCGGACCTGGCGTCTTCCCACCGTGGGCCTGTGAGGCAACGCTCGTGAATTCTTCGCCCCACAATCTCTGGGCACACACGTCAACCCCGATATGCCCGCCCCCACCACAGACCTCATCGCAGGGCCTGCCCAGGCTTTCGGTCAACGGGGGCCGTGAAGCCTGCTCACGTCGGGTCCTAACGATACGGTATTTCAATTAAAGGCAGATAAATGCAAGGCACATGGGTCGTGAGATGCGGATGCTGCTTCATGCGAGGGAAATGGTATTGTTTCGAGGCACGAACCATCGCAAAGGCGTTTCATCAGAGTAACTTGCTACCGCTCAGACAGATAAGCATTGAACACCGATTCATACCGAATGTGCTTGGGGATCGGGCTTCACGGTTATGTGAGTCGCTCCCGCGCTGTTTCTCGTGGCTGTGCCCCTGGTGCTCTGAGTCCCTCCTCTGGGACCGTGTAAAGTGCCAGGACAAGGAGGCAGGCCAACCGCACACGTTCCCTAACGCTGGGCGTCTGGGGCTCTTTTTCGGAGCTTCTTGCCCCCTTTTCCCGGCAAGATGACCTCTGGGGAGAGAGGAGAGTGGGCTTAACCTCGCGGCATGAGGCAGGAGGGTCCGGAGTCCACGCTGGTCCCTGCGCCCCTGTGCTGTCCCCGGGAGTGGCCGTCCAAGGGCACCCCCTCCTCCCCTCTCTGCTCTGGGGCCCGTATGGACCCCCTCCCTAGGTCTCTTGCCCTGTGCTACCAGTTGGGTTTGGCAAATGGGGACATTGGCAGGACAGGTGGGATGGGGAGGAGAGTGAGGCCAGGGCGTTTGCATCCCGGATCCCTTCCCTGTGGAGTCCCCGGGGGCTGCCTGGTCCCTGACTAAATGTCTCACCCCCGGGGGCTCGTCCTTCTCTGTGCAGCCGGCCCTGTCTGGGCTTAGGAACCACTTCCTCTCCTCGCCCGCCATGCTGCACTGTCCCCGGCAGTCCCCTGCCCTCAGATACACTTTGGAGGTAGTTCCTTTACACACCTGTACCCCAGGTGTCCCACCTCGAGTGTGCCCTCTGTTCCCAAATGGAATTCCGACCCAGGCTTGGGACCCCCTCGGGCCTCTGAGCTGTGCCCTGCTTCTTACTCTGGCCTTGCTGTGAAAGCCTGAGGCTCGCTCAGCGTGGCCAGGTGCCCCATGAGGACTCGGGGTCTCAGCCCCAGCCTTGCTCACGGGGTTGGCCCACTCTCCCTATGGGATGTTCCAGAGCTTCCGGCTGCCTTCCCCTGGATGCCTGTGGCCCGCAGGGTGCACAGGCCCTGGCTTTCACCTCCGTGCCTCTCCTCCCCCTTCTCCTCCCTCCCATTCTGAAGGGCCTCCCCCTCCCCTTCGCACCCCAGGGGTCCTCCCATAAGTCAAACGCATCTCCCACCCTACCCTGCAAACCTCTTTCCTCTGGGGCTCACACCTTCTTCTTCTAGGGGCACCAAGTCACATCGCTGGGTTTGAAGGACAGATGGCTTTACAGGAAGAGGAAAGTCTGCACTGGCTCAGAAATTCCTATTTGACTAACATTTGGGGAAGCATCTCCTTGAGAACTTCAGGCTGGAATAGTGGCATAAGCCCTCCTAAAAATAACTGGGAAACAAAGAAAGGTGCTTCCCCCGCACCCCGGCCCCCAGTGCAGGGCTTATCGGAACCTTTCCTGTGCTGTTGGGCTTTAAGAATCTCTAAGGGGGTACCTAGTACGCCACCTTCTTCGCCATGTTTGACAACAGCCCTCTTTTCCACGGAGCATCTCACAGGGCCAAATGTTCTGCCAAACTCGCTCTGAAAAAAGCACTGTTCTGCTAGGATTAAATTTAGAACGTCAAGTTCAAAGCCATGTCAAAAGATAAGAGCAAGCTACACATACTTCTCTAAAGCAAAGGGCAGGCGAGAAGCGGGGGGCAGTGAAGAGCCTCGAAGCTGAGAGCACAAGACACGACAGCAAAGCAGGACAACAAACGATTAAGCCGCTTATTAAAACACCGAGATTCTCCCCGACGCACTACTCACAAAAATATACCTAAGGGGGAGGAAGGAGATGAAAATCAAAGGATGAGCAAAATACACAGCGTGCAAATGTCAGCACGTACAAAGAAGATCTAGAAACGGAATTGCAGAGAAATCGAATTCCGAGCAAATACTATGCAATGGGACAACCCGGGCCACTTTTTAATGGACACGAACTCAATCCAGTGTGAGAAGATAATGGGGTTAAAGCTTTATATGTTAGCTTAAGCCTCATAAAGCAAAAATTTTACAGAAAAGCAATGGTAAGATTTTCAAACGATACTGTCCGTCCGAAAGATTGAACACAAATGTTAACATAGGAGATTCGATCAATGTAATTAATAGGGGAAATTTATAGCCATGTTGTAATCTTTTTCTACAAGCTTTCTGTCTTAAATATCCTTGAAAATTTTGAAAATATGCCCACCTCTACAAATCTTATATTTTTTCCAAAGAAGTCCACACATTTTTCTAACCATGATACGATAAACTTGTAAATTAATAACATAGCCTCCAAAGGAAGCACCAAACTCACTCAGAAATTTAAGAATAAATAAAAATGTAAGTCACTTGTCTAAAAACCTGTAAGATTAAGAAGTAAATAAAAACATAAAATGGTAGGCTACTTAGATATTGAAAGCAAGGATGCACCATTTCAAAACACACGTCACAGCCACTATGACAGATTATCAGAGAGAAAGTCACTCTTTTTAAAAAGGGTAGGACTGACAGAAAGTTGATATACTAAAACTTCGCCTCAGGTTTCATTTTTCGCATTTTTGTTTTTAAGCAAAATTAATGCTAAGGAGACCTGGAGAAGAGAAATAAAAGAAATATGCCAGAAATTAATTCATTGGAATAAGATGGAATTCATAAATACAACTAAGAGTTGCTTCCTTTCATGAAATAGATAAAATAGGCAAACCTTTGTTAAACCTAATTTTAAAAGATCCAAAATACAAAGAAATCAAATTAGAAATTTAAGTTGTCATAAAAAGAGCTATGACATCCTTTCTTAAAGATGAGTCTACTCAGCAAAACTGTGCAGTAATAAACTTAAAGATGTCAATGAAGAGAAACATTTTGTGCAAATTTTTAAATCATTGGAAATTTTAAATAACAGGGCCAATAACCACAGAGTACTACAGTTTTCAGGAATTACTCTGTAAAGGCTCTGATGAGGGTGATCTCTGGACTGGATACTGGTTTCCAGTATCTTTTTAAACAAATTACAGGGAGAATTTAACAGAAAAGTTGGTTTTGAAATGCTAACATAAACCTGATGTCAACTTTTAACCAGCGTAGCACAGATATGGCAATCGTAAGTCAGTCTCATATTTGACTAGAATGTAAAGTTATGCACCTACATATTAAATCTGAACATTTATATACACATACACAGATAAATAGAATTTATCCGAAGAATGGAAAGCTGTTACAAATTTAGGTAATGCATTACATTAATATTTTAAAAGAGAAAAAGCTCTACAAGCATTTCAAAAGAAGTTGAAAATGCATTTCATATATTCAGTTCCCATTTTTAGATATAATTCTCTGAAAACTAAGACTACAAAAATTGTTACCTCGCAAATGAAAAATAGTTTTCTCAGAGCAATGGTCATTGTCGCAGTCTGCGATTCACTTGAGGCCCTCAGTGAAATCAGGAGGAAATGAGAGTTAAGGCTACGGCTACTAATTTAATCATTCATCCAACAAATATTCATTGCAGACCTCTCAGCTTCTGGGTGTTGGTTGTAGGTTTCGAAGACACTGAAACAGGGTGTTGTGTTACGTCGTGGTCACGTGATGGCTGTGATTGTGTTATAATGATCTTAGCCATTGTTACGATCATTTGTGTGCCCACGTATCCAAGTGCACCGTAATATCGTATGTGTCAGAAGAGAATTCGCCAAAGCATGTGGACAAAATCAATCTCCAGCAAAGTTTTCCTGTGTACCCCAAATCCTGAGAGAGAGAGCATGGTAGAAAAAGATTTCCATTCACTGGAGAAACACAAACTGTCCCACGAAAGAATCCTGAAGACCAAGGACAGCTGCAGTGATTGCTGGAAAAGAGTCTTTTGTAAAGGAGCCTAAATAGAAATTCTCCATTTCTGACTGGTACGGCAGAATATTGTAAAAAATGATATTTTTTCCCTAAGTGAATTTCTAGGTTTAGACAATTTCAATGAATAATCCAAGCAGAGGGTGCGTGTGTGTGTGTGTGTGTGTGTGTGTGTGTGTGTGTGTGTGTGTGTGATTTTATTTTTATTTTTTTTGGAAGAAAAAGACTCTTAAGAGAAAACCTTCCTTTCAGAGTCAAAGCCGAGGAGCGGATGTGGCCCGCCCGCCCATCTCGCGCTCACTCATTTCCTGAAGCGCCGACGGGGTGACCCTCGCTCCTGGCTCTGGCGTTGCGAGGAGGTGAGTCACCCTGATTAATGCAGCCCAGTCCCGAGAGGAGCTCTGAGTAATTCCCCCAGGAAGAGGAGCCTGGAATTAATCACCGGCTATAAAGCAGTGCAAGTGTTTAAATGAGTAGCCAACAAAATAAAACAAAACCTATTAAAACATGTGTTTGAACAGAAAATTTATACTTCGGACGTGCGTTCCAGACAAAACAAGCGTGTCACCCTCCTGCTGCACGGGAGGCCCACGGCGTGTGCACGTGAGGGGGCGAGGCCATCACGACCGTCCAGGTGGCACCAGCTGCCACGCACGGGACCCAGGAATGTCGATCTTGAGACTCGTAATTGCAATACAGAGACTGCTTTTTTAAAAACTTCTATGAGCATCCTATGGTTTGATTTTTTGCCCTCGGCATTGGTAGCTAATGACAGCAGGAAGTCAGTGTTAATTTGTCACCAAAGCCTGTCGCTATTCACCTGTAAAGAAGATAGTGGAATTTAAGAATATGGGCTCCCAAAAAGAGGCCGCCCACCTCACCTGGCCGCGGTGCTCTGGGGCGGGAGGACACAAGGCTCAGATGTCCAAGAGGGTCCCCGACGTCTTCCTGAGCGGCAGCACGTGGCTGGGCTCCCCTGGTCTGGGGCCCACTCCGTGCCCCGAATCTCGGTCGGTCGGTCCACTCGGAGCCACTCAGTCATATCCCAATTAAATTCAGCAAAACCTGGAGTCTGCTCGAGAAAGCCGACCTACAAATTGACAACAAGGAACATAGAAGAAAACCTCAAAAAGTTGAATACATGTATGGTCGTCCTATCAACAAGTCTGTATGAGACAACAAAATGTAAACAGAAAGGTACTTCGTGAGCACAGAACCCAAACAAAACGAACTCACTGGGTATCCTTACGGGCTAAAACCAAAAACCACGACAGCCCGGATTACAGAGTTCGGGTACGTACAGTGTGGCTCAGGCTCTTCTTTCAACAGGGCCAACTTCAAAAATTGAGCGGCGATGGATTTGGACCTCGGTTCTGCCTCTTTCTGTTTGCGTGACCTTGAGTAGGTCACTTGGTCTGCGGGAACCGCAGTTTCTCAATCCATGAAATGTAGTGTTGGTACCTACTTTCGGGAAGATTGGGAAGGTTAGAGATGATGTATGTGATACTGCTATCAACCACATAAAATGTGATTGTTCTCCGTTTGGTCTGTCCCCCTCCACTTGTCAGGTCCTGACGCTGTCACCTGGAGGCTGAGCCTCATGGAGATTAGAGATGTCATCCATCCCTCGCAGTGCTGTGACCTGAATCAGTGTAGCTCCTACGAATGAGAGTCCCTCCGGGTGTCACACTCGCCCTCAGGCACACACAGGCCGTGGAGTTCCGGCCTCCCCGCCCCCCGAACCTTCTATGCTATTCCGGCTGGTGGCATGAGTTTCCCACGGGCTCCTGGATTTGCTCCCCAGCTCTGTGCAGCTGATCCCCGCTCCACCTGGCTGGATCCCCGAGGCCTTTCCGTGGCTTACCCGGTCCTTCTTCCCAGGGCCCTGCTGGCTTCACCCCCTTTACCCAACACCCGTGTCTGAGCTTCTGCCCAGTGTTGGAACTCTCTGGAAACAGATGTAATAACTCCCGCAGTGTGACCTGAAGTGCCCTGGAGGTCAACATCACCCACACTCAAGCCCAGGTTTGCTACGTATCAGATAACCTCCGACATAATTCTGAATGACCACTGCTTGAGCATGTGCCGACCGGTGTATATGTAGCTGCTGAGTCTGTGGGTTGGCTGGGGGGTCAGCAAGCCCGGGCTCAGCTTGGCCGGAGGTGGCTCTGCACCACAGGTGTCACCTCCTCCTCCCAGGAGCAGCGGGCCACCTTGGTCATTCATCTCTTTGGTCGACGGCAGAAGCAGAGATGCAGCCAGAAACCGTATATACATCCAATTTGCTAACATCCCGTTGGCCAAAGCCAATCACACGGCCGAGCCCAGCCCAAGAGCACGCGAGGTTGCCCCGCCCACAGGAAGTGGGCGCTGGGATGTTACACGGCAGGGAGCTTGGACGCTGGAACAACACTGCATTCCAGCATTTTCTTTCCTTTCTCAGAGGCTGGTTCGGACACTCCTCTCTGCCATGCCTAGCACTAGGTTCTCGCAAATGTTCCCACCATCCCTGACAAAGATCTTGCTTGACCAAACTTTAGACATTCTCCTAAGCCCATCTGTGTACTCCCTTGAAAACCCTAGTTTTGGCAAGAACCTGGCTAAGTGGGTTTAACCAGAAATCCCACCTTCAATCTCTGATCAGGATCCTCATTCGTCCCCCTCTCCCCGGTGACATCTGATCACCTGGCCTGTCTTCAACAAGAATCCTGTTCGGGTGGTTCAGCCAAAAACCCCTTACCCAGAACGTTTCCTCTTAGTACTTTTCCATCCGCTGACCCCCATCTTCCCCTTGACCATAAAGTCCCTCCCTCGTGCTGTATTCCGAGATGAACCTGATCTCTCTCCCCCGCTGCAAGAGGCCACCGCAGCTGTCCTTACACTCATCGCGAGGGTTCCGAATAGTCAGCCTTACCACAGTTAACAAGTGTTATCGTGGTTTAGTTTCTTTAACACCCCTCATATCTGCCTTACTGTTCTACACTGCACATGGTCACTTCTGCTTATACTCAGAGGAGACTCCCGTGACCCTCCAAAAAAGTAGGGACCCCAATTCCCTTCTCGCATAGTGTTCTTACATTTTCCTTCCTGGTTAATACTTCTTTTTGAGAGTAAAAGAAAGCGAATCCTGGAATCATAAATCCTGAGAGCCCCCAAGGACCCGACGATTCTCTGGTTCAAGTTTCTTGCTGTAGCGATGTATAATCCATATAAACTTCCTGTGTGATCAAAAACACGCATAGTTTCTTAAGAGTTTTAGATGTGATTGAAAAGAACATGCATTTTTCATTTTTCTGGTATTGAGTCCTACATATATCGAAAAGTTTAAGCTCTTTAATAGTATTGTGAAGATCTTTGGTATCTCTGTTTATTATTGTTATTATTTATTATTATTATTATTATTATTAAATTTTGCATGCTTAATCTATTGTTTTCAGGGAAAGTTGTGTTAAACTCTCCAAAACTGTTGATTTGCCTATTACTCTGCCATTCCATCGATTGTGGCATTTTAGATTTTGAGGCTGTAGCGCTTGGTGCATATATGTTTGTGAGAGATGTAGCTTTTTGTTATACTGTGGCTTTTCCAGATATACAAACATAAAACATCCTTCTTTGCTCCTTTCGGTGCTTTTTGCACTGACTCTACTTCACCGGATACTGACATTTCTACCTTTGCTTTCTCCTGGTTTCTCCGTAACTGGTTTATCTTTTCCTGCCCTTCCATTATCGAGTTCTATATGTCCTTTTCTCCCGAGCATCTCTTCTAGACAACACATTGTCACAAATGCTCAAGGCCAGGCCCGTGTGCGTGTGCCCCGACTTATTAATGGAGGGTTGGGGTCAACTTCTAAGTGGAGAGTTCTGGGCACCGTTGGCCATGGGTGTCACGCTGGTTGCCACCACAGCCTCGGTCTGCCCCTCTGGTCGGGGAGAAGCAACACCAGGAGAGGCAGTCCCTCGGTTTGAAATGCATCGGTACTGGTGCCTTGGAGGTCAGGATGGAGATGTGACTCTCTGAGAGAGGCCAGGCAGAAGCTGTACACCTGTTCTCATACACCCCCACTCAAAAGGAATGGTTTTGCCCTGATGGTACCCTACTGCATATAACGTGAGCCAAAGATGACCTCTGTGTATCAGTTCCTATATGTTTATTTCTTCACAGCAGGCGGAGGCACTCCAATTATTTAAAAATTGCCCAAACAAGCAGATTTAGCCATTTAGAACCTTCCTTTCTTGCATATTCTGTGAAACTTTACCCCACAGCTGTTACCTATTGATAAAATAGGGCCTTGTAGTTATAAGACTCTAAGCCCCACTGACCTTTAGAGTTCTCTGACCCTGAGACTCTCTGCTCTCACCTAGGCATGTAAGCTCCCCCTCTAATGCCCCTCTCTCCTCTCCCTCCCATCGTACGAAATCCTGCCTGAGGGACTTTCCTCACATGCAAACCTGTCAAAGTATCGCAGGATCAAGCTTGTGTGTGCTATTGCCACCTTGTGGTCATATCTCTTTCCTAGCTCAGCCCCAAACCCCTCCAACCCCTACAGTGGTGGGGAGTTGGAACCAATGGTCTTGACAGCAGCTGCCAATTTCTGCAATAAAGTGGCAGGTAGCGACTATCAGGGCAAATCAGCAGCATTTAAGAGGCTGTCCTCTAAGCTGTCCTACTGCTGCT